CAGTTTCAGGGTGAATCACTGGGTGGGAGAGCAGCTTCTATACTGGATGAGACTGAAAACAGACCCTGAGGCAGGCAGGCCCAGCACAGCCCCAGTGAGGTCAGAGAGCTGCACCTATGGAGAAAGTAGGCAGACATCCCTGGACCTCTGGCTTTCCACTTACTATTCTCAAAATGCATGTTTACAGCCAACACCCTCATCTGAGCAAAAGAACCTCTTGGACACACGACACTCAACTGCACACACAACATGAAATCAAAATCAGCAAAAGGGATGCAGGAAATGCTCAGCATACAATGTTCAGCAAAACAGAAGCCAAGTATAAGACAACTATATTATAAGCACTCTGTGTGTGTGTGTTCAAATACATGCATGCACATGTTTATATGCATGGAAAAAAATTATAGGAATATCCCACAAAATTAAGGGAAAATGGTAGGATGTTTTCTTGTCTTTATACCCTTATCTTTGTTATCCAAATAGCCTACATTGATTATAATGAAGAAGAAAAACAGTCTGTGCTTGTTTAAGTAAAGAAAAGCAATACCGAGAACAGTACCTACTTGAGGGCTCACTATGTGCAGGACTCCTGCTCATCAGGTCTTACACACTGACCTCAGTGAATCTTCACCATAAGCCGACAGGGTGGGTACTTGGGGTGGCATTCCGGTATGTCCACGTGACTCTATCAAAGTGCCTCCTGCAATGGGCACCTGAAAAAGCAGGGGCCAACAAAGGAAGGACCCTGTTTAGAGACAAACCCAGGAAGCCAGCTCTCAGGAAGCATGACTGCACGCAGACAGGATGCCCGGCAGAAAACTTCACCTTTCTGCTCTTGTGACAGCCCATGCAGAGATGCCCCCTGCATCTCTAAGGCAGAGATGTCACAGGATATGGGTGAGCAGAACCAAAGGAGAGGCACTAAGGAATGAACTCAGCATGCAACAGACACTCACCTAACATGGAGCTAGGACCTGAGACAGGCTGAATAAGTCTCTGCCCAATGCTGAAAGATGCGAGAACTAGTCATAAACAAATGGTAAGATGAAACACACACTCAAAGGAGATGCAGTTACCTGTGGCAGGCAGCAGAAGAGAAGTGCTGGAAGACCTTGCTGAGTGACAAAAGCACTGAAGAACGTGCTCTGCTTGGGGCAAATGCACCAGGCGTGATGAAGATGAAACATCTGCTGAGGATACTATTGGAAATCTGAAACTTCTCTTCCAAATTACACCATCCCCTTCCCAAGAAGCATCTGGGTCCCTGGAATAACTGAACACAAAGGCCATGCCACCCAAAATAAGAGAAGCACTGAGCAGCACTCTAACACACCCTTTTTCTACCAGGACTTTACCAGACAGGTCAACGCATCAAGTAGTTCCATGACACCCCCTTCCCTTCTGTCTGCTTCCCTGTGCAGGAAGATGGGTAGCTCAGGAGGGACTCAGGAATTCTGTAGTACTGTAGTATTTGCTACTGAAAAAAATCCATGTATAGGTGAACCTGCGCAGTTCAAGGTTGTATTGTGGAAGGGCCAATAATGCTTTCTTTCCTTTTTCTCCTTTTTAAAAAATTCTGTTCGTGATTTTATAAAGACAAAAGCCAGAGGTAGCACAGCCTTTCAGACATCTTTGTCAGCACTCCAGCACCAGCAAGTGCAGTTATCACTGTTTTGCCTACAGCGACACCTGCAGATCCAGAGCGAAACTGCAGGACCTATAGCCACCGAAGTGGGACCAGACAGAGATGGGATCGAAGAGGCAAACCCCACCAGCCGCTCTGAGCTGTGTCTGGTGTAGCGATTAGGATGTTGATGCTACCGGTCTTGCATTCCTCTCTCCTCCCACAGCAACAGTAATGTCATCAGCATTTCTGAAAGTCTCCCAGCAGAAAAGTCCTTTGAGCACAGTTCACTGGGTCAAGTACAATAGAAACACTGGGACTCTAAGCGGAACTTTTTACAGTATCTTCACTTCAGACAACTCATACTGGGAAGCTACTCTGCAGAAAGCAAGCATGTTCTCAAAGCTATCTTGTATGGACAAGGAAATCTGTGTGCCCAAATGCTCTCTTCTCTAAGGGATAAAACTGGGCACCTTAAGCACTGAGGTGGCATGTGGATTTACGTGTTAAAATCTGTACCTTATTTTATGTATATGCAAACTTTAATCCATTGTTGGCAGGGCCTAGGTTGGGGACAAGTTGACTCCAAAGAATGATTTGCCTGTAGACTGAGAAGTTGCCATCACCACTACCCAATATTGGCCAGAACCACAAGCAAATGAGTAGCAAGAAGGAGCAATCAGAAAGCAGTCATCTCAAACTGGAAATCAGACTCTAGGTAACTGGTTTTTGGACAGGGTGCCCAGGAAAGGCAGTGCTTCTGTGTGGCTACCTAAAGAGTAACTGTCCTAGGTTATTTAATTACAAGAATTCCCAGATCTGCAGGGGCTTCCTTGATGGCTCAGATGGTAAAGAATCTGCCCGCAATGCAGGAGACCTGGGTCCGATCCCTGGGTTGAGAAGATCCCCTGGAGAAGGGAACGGCTACCCACTCAGTATTCTGGCCTGGAGAATTCCATGGACAGAGGAGCCTGGCAGGTTCATGGGGTCACAAAGAGTCAGACACCACTGAGAGACTTTCACTTTCTTTCTTTCACTTTCCAGATCTACAGTTCACAGGATAAGTGATTCCGGCACTGACTGGAGGGACTTGGGGGACAAGGATGACTTTCATGTTCCATTTCAGATCTGCCCCAGCACTGCCTTTCAGATCGAGTTAGAGATCTGGATCACAATTTCTTATTTTGTTCATAGAAAATCACCAAGTACCTGAAGGCCAAGAAGGTTCAGTCCCTGGAACCACTAAGCCTGCAGCACCAGTCTAAGGTTTTCTGGAACACACCCAAGTCTTCAGTCTATACTTACATCTGGGTAGGATTCACAAAACCAATGCTAATACTGACCCAGAACGCAACTCTTTGGTCTAAGAATAGGGTCTCTGCAAATCAACAAGGCAGCTATTCTAATCTATAATTCACGAGTCAAAAAACAAGCCCCTCTTTTAACAGAGTTTTTAGACATTATAAAAAGAATGCAAAAAAAGTAGTAAAACACAGTATACAACTCACTGTAGAAAAATTAGAAAATATAGTAAGGAAGAACAAAGGTAATGAAAACCACTCACAATTCCACTCATAATGTATTTCCTTCCAGGCGTTTCTCACACAGTTAACGCCCCTTGAACACATGGTGGTTATGGGCACTGATCCTCCATGCAATCGACCTCAGACTTTCAGACTCTGCTGTCTTGCCCCAATCTGTCTCCAAAAAATTCATTTTCCCCAGAAGAGGTCAGAGGCAGAGTGCAAGGAGAGGGAAGAACAGAAGGGAAGTTAAGTTAGAAGGGATGAGGCAGGAAAAGGCAGGGAGCAGTCCTATTAAAGAGGAAAGAAAGCAGATTTGCCTGAAAACAGAAACTGGCCAGGGGCAGTGTGCTCTTTCAGACACTGCCTCAGCTCACACACTAGGAGGTATCAGCTCTTCTCACCCAAACGGGGGCAGGGAAGCACCAGGAAGCAGAATCTCTGAAAAGTGAAGACGAGTACCAACAAAGGGCCTAACTGAAGCCCTACCACTCAGTAGCTGCATGATCCTTGGTTCGTTCAACAGTCACGACAGCCAGTGAGGCAGGTGCTGTAATTACCGCCTTTGCATTGCAAAGGTGAAAACTGAGACAGAAAAGTGACCCTGTTTGCCCAAGGTAATGCATTTACTAAATGGCAGACTCTGGGGGGAACTCTGGGTCCACAGTCCCCCGTATCAGACAAACTCTTCACGCATCCCTTAGACCAAGAGGATAGTAGGCCTGCGTCTCAGCAGTTGCTTCCGCAGGGGAAGAACAGAATCAAGACTCTGAGGAGAAACTTCCACACAGATAAGCAGGTCTCATGGGAAAGCAAACTCTATGAGCCCCGTGCTCTAACTCTGGCTCAAGCTCTTAACTGGCTGTATGACTATGGGCAGATTATTACCTTACCTTACAGAGGAAAAAAAGGAAGAAGACTGAACTAGTTGACCTATAGCTTTCAAAATAGGCAAATAATATACAACTCAATAACAACAACAAAAAAAACAACCCAAACAAAAAATGGGCAGGAGACCTAAACAGACATTTCTCCAAAGAGAAATGGCCAATAGATGGCCAATAGACACATGAAAAGATGATCAAAAAACTATTAGACAAATGCAAATCAAAACTACAATGAGGTATTCACCTCACACTGGTCAGAATGGCCATCACTAAAAAACCTACAAATAATAAATGCTGGAGAGGATGTAGAGAAAAGGTCAGCCTCCTACACTGTTGGTGAAAATGTAAATTGGTACAGCCACTATGGAGGTTCCCTAAAAAAGTAAAAATAGAGTTACCACAAAATCCAGCAATACCACTCCTATATCCAGAGAATATTCTAATCTGAAAAGACATATGCACCCCAGTTTACAACAGCCAATACATGATAGCAATGCAAATGTCCATCAACAGATGAGTGGATAAAGAAGATGTGATACACACACATACACACACACACACAAAATGGAATGCTACTGGGCTATTAAGAAAAAAAAGAAGGAAATAATGCCATCTGCAGCAACATGGACAGGCCCAGGGATTATCATACCAAGTGAAGTAAGCCAGACAGACAAAAAAACAAATATCATATGGTATCACTTATACGTGAAATCTAAAAAAGATACAAATGAACTTATACACAGAGCAGACGCAGACCCACAGACACAGAAAACAAACTTACAGTTAACAAAGAGAAGGGAAGATAAGTTATAAGCTTAAATTACCAGACACATACTACTATGTATAAAACAGATAAGCAACAAGATCCTACTGTATGGCACAAGGAACTATATTCAATGTCTCGTAATAAACCATGATGAGGGGAGAGAAAAAGAAAAGAAAGAAGCAGCAAGTAGAAATCCTTACTTGGGAAGAGATGGTGGTTCCTTGGGGACTTCAGCAGCACCAGCATCTGCTCCCGGCGGCTCTGCCTCCCCAGAGCCAACAGCCACTTCCTGCACGGCGCCCTGCGGGCCTAGGGGCTCCTGAGGCCCACCCGAGTCTGCGGTGGAGTCTACCTCCACCTCCTGAACCGGGGCCGGGACTGGCCCCTGCTCCGCTGTGGCAGCTGCCGCCGCCGTGGCCTCCTCTTCTTCCTTCCTCCTGATTTCCTCCTCTAGGTCTTTTCTCCTCTTTTCGTCATCCTGACGGGCCATGTGGTCAAAACTTTTGAATACCTAAAATCAAACAGCAATTCAGTGTTGAGTTCATCTGCCAGTACTGTATCACACATTCTGTAGAAATACAGCAAAATCTGGTAAAAAAAAAAAAAAAAAAGAAAGAATGAAAAGCAATAGATAAGAAAATGTTCCCACTGGGAAAATGGAAATGCACTTCAGCTTCACCAAAAGCCACTATGAAAACAATCTTTAACAGGGGAATTCCAAAATCAAAGAAAAAGTGAAACTTTTACAAGCCAAGGCTCACAATATTTATACACCTATGAGCCCAACATTTACGTCAAAAGGATGCGTAACTAAATGGTCTCATCTGTCATTACTTCTACAGCCCCAGAGAGTCTTGTTCCAAATGCAAAGAACCCACTGTCCTGGTGCTGAGAGCTATAAAGGCACCAATAACTCAGATGCAAAAAGGGAAGATGGAGAATGAGTTGAATTTCAATCCACAATACAGGCCGGCTCGCTGGACTGCTGCTATCTTCCTACACTGCATGGGAGGAGGGGCAGTGCAGGTCTTACCCTGGGAATTCAAAAGACGTTCGCAATGTGCCTACAACCTGCCAGGAGCACCAAAATCCAACGACAGCTCCCACCCTTGAAGAACTCAATTTTCTGGCATGTGGATCAGTCATTAATCTTCCCTGGGACCCAGTCACACCCAAAAAAGTGCTGCAACTCTCCATCCAACAAGTGCACAGGAAAATGACATTTTGCATGCGCTATTCAAGGGTGCACATAACCCTCAAGTATAGCCAGGACAGACCCAGAAATGACAAGTCTGACAGGAGAGGCTGTGATAAATACATGTGATGCCATCGGAATGTGGGTGCAAATGAGCATTCTGGCAAGAGAGAGCTAAGGACATCTCTTAGAAGAAGGGGGTCTGAATCAGACCTTGAATGAAAGGTACCTCTTACAGAGGAATGACAGGAGGAAATGTCACAGTGCCAAGAGGTGGGCTCATCAAGAAATATCTCTTATGGCAGCTGGAGGCAGGAAAGCCAGAAGATCCACCTTGAAAAGTAGGTGGGAGGAGACCCTAACATTCAATCCAGCAACCGTGCTCCTTGGTATTTACCCAAAGAACTTGAAAACATGTACCAACAAAAACCTGTACACGGATGTATATAGCAACTTTATTCATAATAGCCAAAACCTGGAAGCAACCAAGATATCCTTCAATAAATGATGGGATAAACAAACTGGCACATCCAGACAATGGAATATTATTCTGCCATAAAAAGAAATGAGCTTTCAGCCATGAAGAGACATGGAGGTTATTTAAATGCATATTAGTAAAAGAAGCCAATCTGAAAATGCTACACAATGTATGATTCCAACTATATGATACTGTGGAAAAGGTAAAAGTTTAGAGGCAATAAAAAGACCAGTGGTTGCCAGAGGTTGAGGGGAGAAAGGAATGAACAGGTAAGACTACACAGGATTTTTTTAGGGCAGTGAAAATACTGTGTGATGTCATAATGAGGGATACATGTCATCATACATTTGTCCAAACCCCATAAAGTGAACAACACTAAGAATGACCTCCAAAGTAAAGTCTGGGTTTGGGTGACTATATGTCAATGCAGGTCCATCCATTGTAAGAAATGCACCACTCTGGTGGGGGATACTGACAACAGGGGAAGCTGTGGGGGTGGAGGTGGCAGGGAGTAAATGGGAAATCTCTGTATTTTCCCCTCAATTTTGTTCTGAACCTGAAACTACTCTAAAGAGTAGTCTTAACAAAATAAAAATGTTTTAAAGTGTGTAGGAGTCAGTTTCCAAAGGGTTAGAATGCAAACAGGGGCTAAATAACTGCTGTGTGCACTGAGCAAGAAGACAGAACAAGAGAAATTACAATGTCAGTGTTTTTATAAACATTCTCTCACAAAGCTCAGGAAAATGCTGTTAGGAAGATAGCACTGATATTTCAAAGATGAGGGAAAACTAAGCTCAGAGGGTAACTTGCCCAAGATCCTGCCAATGAAAGAAGAAAGTAAAAAATTATACAGGAAGCACACTAAACACTGAAAGGAAATGTAGGCAGAGGAAGGCAAGGGAAATCCTAAGGTTAAAAACTAGAAACAGTACCTATCTCTGCTTCTCCAGAGAACCTGAGCCCCTGACTCACTCCTCTCACATCCATGTCAATGACACCAGACACCAGACCCACTGCCCTCAGAGCCATTCATGTTCCTGACATACCACATCTTAACTCCAGAAAAGAAGTAACAGCAAGGGCTCTCTCCTAACACTGGGAACCTCCCTTGGACCCCAGCCTCATACTCCTGATGACACTGTGGCCCCCACTGCCCTTGCTTACTCAGCACCCCCGCCTCCTCTAAGATGACACCTGCTTCACCTCTCACATCGCCGCTGACCTCAGCACTTATTTCAGAATCCTGGATTGCGGAGCTGGAAGACATGTCCCTGACCTCCAGTCAACCTTCTCAACTGACAGAGGAGAGTGATTCTCCCAAGACTTCCCAAGAAGCTCAGGGAGGAGCAAAAAGAGCTAGCTTTCCTGACTCTCATGGGGAGGTGGGGTGGGGGGTACCTTTTAAGCAGGCTTCCCAAACTGAACTCCAGAATAAACACAGGTCAACTGAAATGAACAAAATGTCAGTCTAAATTACTGTTTGCTTAAAATATACTAATAAATAAGGGAGTGGAATACAATTTCCACATGCATCTTTCCTGCTGAAGGTCCTTCAAACTGTACAGCCAGGCTGTGCAAGCCCTTAGAACTGGGAGGAAAAGCTGAAGAAGGTTTAAACCACACAAACATCCCATATCCCAAAATATCAGGGGAAAACAGGAGTTCCAGAATGGAGCACTACAATACTCCCATCCAAACTCTCTTTCCCTGAGTTCTGAAGAGACCCCCAAGCACTCCACTGCCCAATGCCTCTGTGAATAAAAGAACAGCTCCCGAGGATTTACCCTGATCTACTCAACCGTCTAGTCAAGGCTATGGTTTTTCCAGTGGTCATGTAAGGATGTGAGAGTTGGACTATAAAGAAAGCTGAGCGCCGAAGAATTGATGCATTTCAAGTGTGGTATTGGAGAAGACTCGTGAGAGTCCCTTGGACTGCAAGGAGATCCAACCAGTCCATCCTAAAGGAGATCAGTCCTGGTGTTCACTGGAAGGACTGATGTTGAAGCTGAAACTCCAATACTTTGGCCACCTGATGTGAAGAGCTGACTCATCTGAGAAGACCCTGATGCTGGGAGAGATTGAGGGTAGGAGGAGAAGGGGATGATAAGAGGATGAGATCGTTGGGTGGCATCACCAACTTGATGGACACGGTTTTGGGTGGACTCCAGGAGTTGGTGATGGACAGGGAGGCCTGGCGTGCTGCAGTTCATGGGGTCACAAAGAGTCAGACACGACTGAGTGACTGAACTGAACTGAACTCAACCAAAATAACCAAGGGATATCTGCTCTTTTAAAGTTCCCTGAGCAATGCTGATGACTGAGAACCACTTTCAGAAAACACTACACGCCTCTTAACTACCTGCCAGAAATTGTCCCTCTTGGTTTCCATGGAATTTACTGCCCTGCCCACTTCCCTCCATCCCCCTCCCACTCCCACAACCTCTTGCTTCTCCAATTCCTTCTCTGGGGTCCTTCCCTCCAAAGGCACCTTCTCTCTGCCCTGCTCCTCCACCTTCAGCTCCTCTCCTTTAAACCACTCAGATTCTTCTACCTCCCATGAGCTTCAGTCCCACAATTCAACAGCCTATGGACAGAGACTTCTGTCTGCAATCTCCAATTCAACTTGTCTAAAACTAAGCTCCTTCCCCTAAATTCAGGTGACAGTTCAGTGAATGCATTACCATTATTACTGTGCCCTGGTCTGAAACCTTGGATCACCTCTGGCCCATCCCACCCCTCTCTCTGCCTTGTTCCCCACCTCCACTTTACTAAACTGTTCACCAAGTCTTAACCTTTGAGAGTGTCTAAAACATAGTAGGTGTCTTACATACTGTTACCAGATTCATGAATTACCTCTGTCAGTTCACCTGTAAAACAAGGAGAAAGATCAACCTTTTCAGGTTGTTAAGAACAAATGACAACCTCGATAAAAAATTACATAACAATTAGTACATACTAGGTGCTCGGTAAATGTTCCTTTCTTTTTTCTGCAAAAGATCACCCTAGAGGAAAGTGTTGCCATTCTACAATGGACTGGTTAAATAATAGAACAGAAAAATTTGGAATCGGAAAAATGAAGTTTTGAGCTATAGCTCTATGATGAATTTGGTCAAATAAAACCACCTGATCTGCTGAACTGGCACCCTCATCTGCCACATAAAATTCAACCTTATCTATTTCACAAGCTTCCGTGAAATTATTAATTTGCCAAAGGATTTGCTAAAAACCATCTCTGACACACAGCTCTCTGATCACTTGGATGGTACTTAACCACTACAAGGATGAGCAACAGCCTTAAGTTTTCAAACTGAATACCAACCTCACTCTTCATTTGACCATAGTATCTCTGGTAGTTATTCAAACATTTTAAGCATTTGTTTCTTCATGCAGGCACTTAGGAAAGTAATATCGGACCAACTTGAAGCGAGCAGCAAGACTTCACGAGATGAACCTTTGAAATCACTTCATAAACTGTAAAGTGCTAGACGACAGTGAGAGGTATCACCAGAATTTCTGCCTTCTCAGGTTCCTGGCTCAATGCTTGACTGAGTATGCTCTTTCGATCCCATCAAAATTCCACCTCCTCTACAAAACTTGTCTTCATTTCCAAAAGATCATTTCTATTCCTTTCCTTCCAATGGCTCTGTCAGGTAGCAGGCAAAGGTCCCTATTACTGTATTTCGTCTCTTTAAATATAGCGTAAGGGTCCCAAGCAGAGAAACCATTATTTAACCATCCGCATAACCAGTGTATCTCCAATGCCTGCGGTAGCCGAGTGTGTGAACTCTTGCTTATTACATTTCAAATACCCCGTCAACTTCAGTGAATGATAGCCTCCAACATAAGCTTAACCTGGGATGCACAGATATACGCTCATATGTAAACTTATTAAGTACTATTATACTATGACTGTCTTTGACGTGAAAAGTCACATTTCAAATAAAAGAACCACACCCATCACACAGCCTCCCCCTAGTTCCAGCAGTCGTAGTTCTGGGGTGTGCAGGTGTCCGTGCTGCCGCCGCCCATTCCCCAGTCTAGCCTGCATTGTTTTCATTCTCTGACTGGCCGGCCCTGTCACTCGAAGGGTTACGCGCTGCTGGAGGTGACCGTGGCCCTGAGCTTCTGATATCCAAATGCACCCTATCGGACCAGGCTGCTCTAGAGCCGGCACCTCTCACAGGAGTAAACTGATACCAGACCAGCATCTCCGCAGAAGCCGCGGCCGCAGGAGGCGGGTCGGGGGAAGCGCCAGAGCAGGAGCTGAGGTCGGCAGCAAAAGAAGCGGTGGACTCGCAGGAGCCTGAGCTCCCAGAGGGTCGGGGACTACGGGAGCGGGCTTGCGGGGGTCGGGGCTCCCACGATCTTCCCCCACCTCACCCCGAGCTTCCCGCCCGCCGCGCGTTACCTGCAGCACCAGCGCCTGCGCGGCCCCCGGGGGAAAGCCCATGCGGTCCGACGGGTGGCGCAGCAGGCGGTAGAAGTCCGTTTTGCGGTAGAGGAAGCCGAAGAGCACACGCAGAAAGTCCTGAACGTTGCCCACATGCTGCAAGATGCCCAGCAGGGCCTGATCGTACAGCTCGGCAGCCCCAGGCTCCATGGCGTCGCCGGCCGGAGGAAAGCTCACTCACTGCGGGCGCGGCCCGGACGCCGGCCTATGGCCACTTCCGGTGCTCTGCAGTAACGGCCCCGGCCGCTGGCGCGCCCAGGAAACTTCCGGTCCGCGCTGGTTCGCCCCCGCGGAGGAGCTGGGCGGGACTGCGCTGGAGCCGACTGGATCCGGGCACCGCCCCTACTGCCCCCGGGCTTCTGGGGCGGTCTCGTGGAGGAGCAGAAGTGGGCCCCCGAAGAGCAAGAGGGCCCGGGGCTGCGGCATTGAGGGCGCTTAGTGGCCATGTTGGAAACTGGCGGAAGAGTTGTAGCGCCGGCAACAACTGTTACGTGAGCCATGCTGTTGTCACGTGGTTTGCGGGCTGTGTTCCAGACTGGACGTCCAGAAACAAGGCGGGACAGCGAGAACGTTTTGCTGGCGAGTCCAAAGAGGAAAATGCGACCTTTCTGTTGGTGTGTTTCCCATTACTAATGTAGTCGTGGGTGAAATGCAAGGTGATATGCATAAATAAAAGAAGACAAGATTGTCAAGTGAGTGCATGTACCAGTATTAAATGGAAAGAGCTAGATGCAGAATAGAGAATCTGGTGTGCCGTGCTGTAAAATATACATATACATATATATATATATATATGTGTGTATAGTATATACATGTGTACGCATAGTATATATATACACAAATTGCATGTGTATGTGTTCTAAGGGTCTGTCAAAGCATAATCTGAAACTCAAAACATAACGCTTACTCAAATATATAATGAACACGTCAGAGATTTATCCATTTTAATTAACAGTAACCAATGATATGATAAAGCTAGTTTGGAGAAGCTTTTCGAGAAACTGGATATTTATAACTCAGAAAACAGAGTAAGATGGCTAGATTGGATACAAAGCTGGCTGGTGTCCTATAAAATGATGTAGATTATCTTTCCTAGTGGATAGAAATGATTTGCATCGCTACTGGCCTGAAATCTACAAGTTAACATGTATCTTAATAGTGTATGGACTCTAATGGATTGTAAACAAAGTCAGACTCAGATAAACTGCTGTAGAGCAGCGTTCTGAAACTTTTTGGACTTAGGACCTATTTACAGGGGATTCCCTGAGGGTCCAGTGGTTAGGACTCTGCACTCTCACATCAGAGTGCCCAAGTTCAATCCCTGGTCCAGGAACTAAGATCCCACAAGTGTGGCCATGGCCAAAAGGAGGAAAAAAAAAAAGACCCATTTTCATTCTTAAAATATATCAAAGACTCTTTGGAGTCCTCCATAAATTTTATGTGTATTATGTTTATTGATAGTTACCATATTGGACATAAAAACAGAAAATGTTTAAATATTATGCATTTTAATAACCATAAAAACATGTTAACATATTTTTGTAAAGACATAATGTTCTTCAGAGCAGTAAAAGTTTATGAGAAAAAAAAAGTTTATGAGAAACAAAGCATCCTTTTAAACTTTTGCAAATCTCTTTACTATCTAGCTTAATTGAATTGAAGACAGCCAGATTCTCACATCTGCTGCATTCACTGCATTGCAGTATGGTGGTTTGATTGAAGTATGAGAAACCCAGTCTTATACAAATAGCAGTTTAATTGCCTTTTCAAATAAATGTGAGTATTATTCTTGGAAACTACACCAACATTCTACAAATTGTAGTTTCTTAAAGATTAGTTGCACTGTGAAATCTGAAATTGTATCAATAAATGTCTCCTACTTTGTCACATTAACATCTGTTGGTCTGCCCTAATACTTTGAATGATCTTTGTTCATAGTCTGTTCTCTGTATACACAGAGCAAGGAGAGATGGAAGAAAGAGGCAGACCACTTCAGACTGGTAGGTAGGAAGTTTAATAAGCAAGGAAAGTTACAAGACTTGTCCTGGGCAGCCCCAAGACCAGTATATTTTCACGTCCACTTTGCCAGAATCGTAAACATTTATACAGACACCTTAACTGGGTTCAATCACATACACTGTCCACCTGAGCTCAAAAACATCTTCCTCTCTCAAGGTATTGAGAGGAAGATGTTGTTGAAAACAACTCTTTTTTTTTTTTTCCATTTATTTTTATTAGTTGGAGGCTAATTACTTTACAACATTGCAGTGGTTTTTGTCATACATTGAAATGAATTAGCCATGGATTTACATGTATTCCCCATCCCGGTCCCCCCTCCCACCTCCCTCTCCACCCGATCCCTCTGGGTCTTCCCAGTGCACCAGGCCCGAGCACTTATCTCATGCATCCAACCTGGGCTGGTGATCTGTTTCACCCTAGATAATATACATGTGAAAACAACTCTTGCTGTGGGAATGGTAGGCAGAGCGTACATTACAAGGACAGAGAAAAGGGTGAGGAGTCTCCCATTGCCTGGGTCTAGCTAGAGGGTCAACCAGGGATCATGTTCTGAATACCCCCAATAAACATTTACACATGTGATTTTGTAAAATCAGAATGGAATAAAGAATGTGATGCAAGAATCTAACTATATTAAAAATGTATAAGGGCTTCCCTGGTGGTCCAGGGGTTAAGAATCCTGCCATTGCAGGAGAAGTGAGTTCAATGCCTGGTCTGGAGTATTGCACATGCTGCAGAACAAATAAACCTGTGCCCCACAACTACTGAACCCATGCACTTAGAGTCTGTGCTCTACAACAACAGAAGCCACTGCAATGAGAAGCCCATGCATCACGACTAAAGAGTAGCCCCCGATCTCTGCAACTAGAGAAAGCCCGAAGACGGAAACAAAAACCTAGCTCACCAAAAATAAATAAATAAATATTTTTTAAATGTATAAAGCAGCTTCTCTGAAAGGGATACTGACCCCATCTGAAAGATGCTAACCTGGAAAGGTATGGTGTCTGGAAAGGAATGGTGTCTGTAAGACTAAAGGCAAAAGGAATTGCACGTAAATACTAAATTCTAAAGTTGTTTTCCACAGGAGTGTAGGTTATCATTTCTGAGACTCCTCCATATGTGTAAAGGTAATCAACAACTAAGTAAATGGTGAGGGTGGTGGAGCCCGGCTTCTCTTTAGCTGGCATGAGAGGCTCCAAAGAAGCAAGAAAGGAGTCTAGAATGATTGATGTGGTTATGGGTTAGACCTGGAGGCATCAGCATAAGCTCCTTTTTAGTGTAGATACAGATGGCTTTTCATAGAAATATTTCTAGAAATGTGCACATACACAGGTCAGTATTCATATATGTATGCCCTTGCTCTCTCAGCTGAGAGGATCAGAAGCAACAAAGCCCCAGCAGCAACACACACTGAACACCCAGATCCTAATTTCTAAACTTATCTCCAGATGAAGGGCTGGAACTCCTGAGAGAAATGGCTGACTCTAGGACTAGGACAGAAATATACAAGTTGAGCCTGTACCATCTTATAATGCCAGGAAGTACAGAAGTGCTCACAAAGGGGAAAAAACCCACAGTAAAGGGAATATGTCAAAGGGACCTAGGAGCCAACTGGAAGACTTCCCAATGGCCAAATGTGGAGCAAATAGTCACTATATCAAAACCCAAAGTAAAAACTGAGCATCCTTGGTTCCATACTGATAAAGATAGCATACTGAATAAATAATAAATGGAGGAGAACAATTTTCCTGTTCAGAAGAGTTCCAAATAATTTATGTAAACACTCCACCCTCCAGGAAGTAGAGCTTAAGTGTGGGCTGTGCATAGCAACTTCCCTCCAAAGAGTGCAGCATGCAGACAGGTGCAAGTGTACAGAGGGGACGCCTGGCCGACACAACCTCAGCCAGGTGGTCAGGGTCAGCGTGACAGCGACAAGCTATGGTGACTGCAGGCACCCTTGACACTGTGGGCTGAGACCGGCTCTCTGCCTCGTGGTCTCCCTCCGAAAAACCCATCACCTTTGTCTAACCAGGAGAAATACTAGACAAACCCCATTTGAAGGACATTCTTTAAAATACCTGACCAGTCTTCAACTGTCCAGGTCACCAAAAACAAAAGAAGAGCCTGACACACAGTCAGAAACGAAAGGAGCCTAAGTAAACATAACAACCGAGTGTTGTGGAGTGTCCTGGACAGGATCCTGGCTCAGAAAAAGGAGCCTGGGTAAAATTACAGAAATCTAAACAAAATATGGATTTTGGTTAGTAGTAATAATCAGTACTGGTTCATTCATGGTACACTGACGTGTATCACACTAATGTGTTACTCGAGTAAATTTTGGGGGGCGAGCGGGGGGCATACAGGAACTCTCTGTATTATCTTTGTAATTTTCCTGTAAAACTATTCTAACA